CCTGCTCCTGGCAGCACGGTGCCCCTCGGTGTTGGGGGCCCCGGCACAGCCCCTGCCCTGCTCCGTGTGGGCGTGGGGCCTGGGGGAGGGGAACGCAGCGCTGCAGTGGCTGGTTGTGCCAGGGGTGCCCAGCGGGGCAGGCTGCGGGATCGTAGCCCCCACACCGGCCCGAGAGCCCCCCCCCGCCCCCCCACGCCCGCAGACACGGCCCCCCCCCGCCCCCCAATGCCTGCATACACACAGCCCCCCAGCTCCCCATACGGACACACCCAGCGCCCGGCTCACAGACACACCACTCACTGACACCTCCCCACGCCTGCAGACACAGCCCCCCAGAACTCCCCACACGCCGCACGGGGGCCTGCAGCCCTGACAGCCCCACGGACACCGCTGGCTGGGCAAAGACACGTGTATTTACTGACTACAGTCCCCTTGGCGAGGGGCCAAGCCCTTCAGTGTGCCCCCTTCCCCCCTCTGTGCCCCCCCCAGGCCCAGCTGTCTGGGGGCGACTCCTGGGGGCTACAGGCTGCCCCCCCCCGGTCCCCACAGCCACGGCCCCAGCCAGCCGGAGCAGAGCCCAGGGGCCCCGGTGCCGCGGCAGGGCCGGGCTCACTCCTGCCTGTAGGTGCCGTTGTAGCCAAAGGGCTCGGCGGAGACGCAGGGCCCCGGGCTGGCGGGCGTCCAGCGCTGGACGTCCACGTGGGCGAAGGCCGGGTCCCGGGGCCGCACGATGATGGGGCTGCGCGACGCCACCGACGGGTCCTCGTCGAAGAAGTTGAAGGGGCGCAGGAAGAAGCCGACGGCGTTGCCGGGCGTGGCCGTGTTGGGCACGTCCTCGGCGTGCGGGATGTGCAGGAAACCCACCGTCACCCAGGCCACCAGGTCCTGCCACGGACGAGAGCCGCGGTCACCGGGGCCCCGGTGCTGCCCCCCATGGCCTGGGGCCCCCCACAGCCTGCAGCCCCCCTGCACCCCCAGGGCCCCAACCCCACCCCACACAGTCACCGGGGCCCTGGCACCACCACTCCCTCAGGCCCCCCTGCAC